ATATGCAAAATTCTTGATGCCTCAGTCAGGTACATACACAGCTCACCATTTTACTGTCTCTTCTCCGTTATATAAAAAGACAATCTTCATTGCTGCTGATACAATAATTCTGAGTTAGTTCCAGTGCATCCAATTCAAAAATCGACTGACTCTATTGCCACTTTTATGCAGTCAAAGAAATGGGTCATGAAATGTATCCATAGACATCAAAAGTATGCAATACAACTCGACTTCATCATGCCATCACGATCACTTGAGGTTAAAGTTCCAAAAGGAAGACCAGACTACCAAGTGCGTCTTCGAACTTTCAATGTACCACCAAGTACCCAATACACAACACACAGTCATGTATGGGGCAGCCTGAACTTTGTTTAGTCGGTTATAGATAACATTTCTGGTCTTCAGGAAGAGATATCAGTATCCACTCTCACTAAGACATTTCACAATGCACTGAAAGTAATATTGGAATTCGGGTTTCATTACTTGTGGACAGATTATGTGTTATTTGAGATGATGTTGACGAATGGAAGAAGGAATTTTTTCACGTGGCTAGTGTTTATGGTGGATCCATTCTCAACATAGCCATTGCTGGAGCTCGAGATGGCAACGATGAAATGTTCTTCAACAGAAATCTGAACCTCATTCGAAGCGCTGAGTTAATGACCCATTCCGACTTTGAGTGGGGCGGGTCTGATGGGTAAACCAAAGCTTCTTTTGGTAGAAATGAATATTTACGAACGGTCTTGCATGGAATCACCACTATTTCAAAGAGCATGAACATTACAAGAACGGATATTGGGCCCTCGAACGTTTCATTTCAGTAAACGTCAGGTTATACTCAACTTTCATACTCGCGCATACTTTGAGACAATTAATTAAGTGGAAGACGCCCGTTTTGGCACATCATCACAGCTGAAAGCTCTTCATTCTGAAAATTTCTGGTTTGCTGTTTGGAACGAAATCCTCAAGCTCTATACCAAGTCCAAATTAACAATTAGCAGCAATAAGCTTGTGGCGCTTTCAGGTATCGCCGAAGAATGCAACTATAGGGAGAGACATCTACCACTTCGAGGACTAACTTAATCTTGGTCAAGTGTAGACACAGGGATACATGATATTCATAGTCGTAGACTTCATTGTGAAGACAATGATTCGTATATGGCGACTTTAAAATACTCGATCTCCAAGTTCATACCACTCCGTCTGATCCATTTGGTCATTCTTTTGCGCGGCACCATGCGCATTGCGTGTGTCAAAGTTCTTGACAGCGAAGTTCTTATCACCGATCCACCAACAGAAAAGCCTAGCGGTGTACATCTTTGGTTTGATAATAGCAGCCATTTTACAGTTTACCCGCTGAAAATCACCAATGGGGCTCCAGAAACCCGTTGGCGTGGAGCTGAAATGCGTCTCTTGATTACCCCCATCGCCGGTAGGAAAGTTTTCTTCACGCGCATTGGAGCTCATTTCCCTACCTATAAGTCGTGCCTGGCGGGTAATTTGGAAATTCTTGAGGATGCACGAAAAAGTCTTGAGACTTTACGCGATAATGATTTGTCATTATATAAAGGGATCACCCGATATACGGAATCAACGAGGCTGGGAAGCGAATGTACACCATCACATAATCTAGCACGGGGATTTGACCTCATATGCCAAATATTGAGCATCGCCTTCCATTATTCATCCACTACTCATCTGGGCAAGAATTTTTCGAATTTGTGATGGTCAATCTTCAAAGATGATTTCGGGCCTCGTTTGAAAGCGAAAATGGGTGATTTATCAAATTCTAAAAACATAAGATGGAAAGTTTTACAGGAAATTTCAGCGTCAGAATGAAAGCATATTTCAATGATTCTGCGGGTGTTTGGTGTCGGAAATGGAACTGCAAATTATCACTGCGAATTTTCTTCAGACTGTCAGATAGGAAAGGAAATGGGAAAACTCACAATTGATATGATGAATTGGATATCTTGGTTTCTATCCACCTGAAGTTTTATCTACTGCTGCTATCTGTTCCTCAATATCTCAATTTTTTTCTCAATATCAAACATTTATTGATGACATTTTAATAGTGTTTCATGGATGGAAATACTTCAAACAAACCGTCACTCAATATGTACATGTTATGTTATGGAACAAGAAAATGTGGACATTGGGTGCGAGAGATTTAGTTTCATCTCATTACCTTTCAACTGGCTACAGCTATGTTACCTTTCAAAGGTTCTATATTGCAATCCTTATTGCAAAACTATTTCATCTAGCTGCTATAGTGAATAACTCCAGACTCCTGTTCACCAAATGTCTTGCCCAGACAACCCGATACAAATCATAACAGTAAAAGCAGATTCTAATCCCAATCCTAAATCTTTATCTCATTGGCTCTATAGCATGTGGTGCCAGCCTTTTTCATCATAAAATCTTTATACCATGCTTCGAGGACCATAAACTCTTGTCTGAGTATTTCTGCTGCGTTTTTTCTCTGCACCATTCATTAATTGAACACTTTGCGCCTCTACTCCTGCCTCTCTTGGAGATGTTCTAGTTCCCGCCTGTACCTTAAATTGAGACGGATACCAGATGAAAAAGATAACGGTGACGATCCACATTGGTACTGTATCGAATGTGTACAAAGTCCATTCATGCATTAGAGGATATCCCTTCTGGCCCGCCGCATACTCGATAACTCTGAAGACTGATCGAACGAGAATGAGAGCACTAATGACGTAAAGACAATGCAAGTGATGAATCCAATTTGCTTCAACAACGAAAGATTCTGGTGTGGGCTCTCTTCTCATTCGGCGTTCGAATATAAGAGCAGTAAACAAGAAAAAGGCGAAAGCTATGATCTGAATGAACAAACCGACTAACACGACCTTTTCACCAAGACTGGCAGTGCTGGTATTGAACATCAAGCCGGAGGATCCTCCTTGCACGAAGAATGACAAGACATCTGCCATGACGAAAATTTTCGTAAGCCAATTGATCCGAATGAGGGAATGATGTTCTCCGTGGACATATCGCATAATTCGACCGAGTGTCATGTAGATCGATGCGGCTAAGAAGGCTGGAGCAACGAGGGTGAAGAAACTTTGGATGATATATGGCATGAGAGTGCCGGTACTGTTGACGGCCATTACTCGACCGATGTAACCGATGAATTCGACTGTAAGGATATTAGTATATGTTCATATCTCAAGGGAGATGTTAAGGTACTCACAGAGGCCTCCGACGCAAAATGCTGTGCAGAACCAGGACTTAGTCTTAAACATACGCCAGGTATGTAAAGCGGTTGTTATGATGAAGAGAATGATAAAGATGACAGCTGCAGCCATAGACGGAATGTAGTTCCAGAGATAGTAATCTCCACTATAGGGTTCGAGTTTCGCCATTGTGAAGAAGTAGGAAGTCGGTATTCGTGTAATTGTGTTGATATGAAGGGTGTTCTAGACTGCTCTCAATGAACGATCAAAAGGAACGATCAGTATTGTATGATGTAAAAGGGAAGAGTTGGAGGTGCACTTCCAACTCCAACTCGAGGTTATCAATAGGTTTTATTCTCAACATCATGAGGATTCTCGACTATTGCTAAAAGAAAAATCGATAGTGATTTCTGTTTACCTCTTATCAAATACGCGTATTTGAAGATATGGAAGTATTTGACAGCGGTATACGTCGATACGCTCAATGCATTTCCCCAAAACTCATGCAGATTACTCAATTGAGTTAGCACAGCCTTAAGGGGTCGTGGGGCGTCGCATCTGCAGCTTAGGTTTTCCGAATACGCGTATTGGAATGCGATCCAATGAAATTCTAGATTATGTAATTTGAGATAAAATTGAAGTTTTTCCTCTCAGGAGGTTGGGTTTCCGACGGTGCAGTAACACTGCCATGTTTGTTTTTGTTGAGAGAATGTCATTCCGCATTTATTGAAAAGATTTCTCTTGTCAAATTCATGGATTCGTGTGTGGTCAAAAATCGGAAATACCGACCATAAAACGAGAGGTGGGTGATGGGTCCTGTTACATGATATTGCTTTTTAGAAGTCTGGACTGCAAGGTCGTGCATAATCACGACAACCGTTCAAGTATCAATGCTCGCGTTGTGGATTCAACTGATATCGGAGATATTTTGCTATGGTATAATTAAGCTTATTCACAGCGAAAAAGTCGCTCCACTCCGACCAGTATTTTGTTTAAGCTTCGTCGAAAATTTGATTGCGGGGTAAGCTGAGTATGAAACCTCTTGACCTCGAGATAATTCAGGCGCAGCGGCGTTTATAGAGATATTTTTGAAAAATTTTGGTCGTGGATTGGATGCTTATGGCATTTTGGCTATGTTCTGAGGGCCAGACCTGGTGAATTGAAGCAATTCCATTCATCCAGCAGGCCGGCGGCATTGGACAGCATATTTGTCAAGGGCTATCTGAGCAAATGATTTGGGTCTCCGATAGAGAAATGAAGAAAGTCTGTCTTTACTCTCACCCATTCTCCTATTACGCTGTATCTTTTACTTCTTTGTTTCCTTCCTCCTGCTTCCAACCGCTTTGTTTTACCTCCCTTTCTTTCTTTCTTTCTTCCCCCCTTGGTTATCACAAATCACAAGCATGTTCTTAATTGCTTCTACCTCTCCCACAAAATCTCCCTTGTTAATCGATAAATTGTATCGAGTTGATCGTTCTAGATCCCAATTCGATTCATTATATGTATCGTCTCTGGGGAAATGGTAGAGGGGAGGGAAGTCGGACACTAAACTCACGTTTCCAAACGACTTCCGATTACAACCCTTTCCATAACAACCCCTCTTCTGCTCGTTCCATCTTCGTAACATATCGCTGGGACCATTAAAATGGTCAGTTCAATTGAACACGATCCCGTACAAATCATCTATGATGAACGATATATAACCCACGCGGGCATGTATATATCCGTCAGTTTGCCATTTACCTTCCATCGTGCGGCGTATGAGGCTAAGTTTCGAAGGAACTTCACCCCAAATTGTTACATCTTCTTTGCCAAAACTCGCCCAAGGTACTCTGCAAATTCTGGTCTTCTCTTCAGAGGATGTTTTGCTGAAGGAGGTTTTGCTTGAGAAGATTTCGCTGGAAATGTTGAATGTTCAGACTGATTCTTCATTTCCATTGCTCTTAGTAATATCGCTGAGCGATGGTTAGGATCAGCCTTTGGTAGATCAGCGCCCTTCATGTGAGTCTCATGTCCGGGACAGTTGTGACACGCGGCAACGGGCACAATCTCCCCCTTCTTATTTCTTTTGTCATCCATGGCTCTGCGGGGGCATTCCTTGCATTTAGTAAGATCATCTCCTCTGAACCAAGTGTAGTCACAGGTACTTGCGAAGTAGGGTTCGTAGTACGGACATGACTTATCGCAGATGCATGGCTTGGTACCATCGCCACCGCATGACCTATGATACATATACAACTCTTTGCACATTTTGAGATAATGTTACTACAATACTGAACGGATTCGTTTCAAATACAAGTAATGATACTTTCAGAGGGTTTAAAGAGGTCCTTGATTTATGTTTCCTAGAATTCGTCAGTCTTGAGAGTAAAAGGCATCGGGATTGTAAAGATTACCAATGCTTGTGTCGCTGCTATTACGATAATAGTAATTGCAATTGATCGCTGCCCCAAAGATTATAGGTTTTCTGTTTGTCAAGGGAAAAGGTGTTTTGAGGAGGGTGATGGAGGGGTAGCAACCTTATATATACCTACCTAGGTATATGATATCACTCTACTCACTAATTTACTCTAGCTAAACTATAGCGTGGTACAAGTCAAACTTTAAATATCACCATTCTGCACTAGGTTCCCAGTAACTTTCCCTTCCCCAGTTTCTCTGCTCATTTCTCCATACCAAGAATATTATTTTTTGATACTCATCATTCAAAGGAACCTTTTCGATAGTTGCAGTAAAGAGAGTTATTCTATCTGAAGCTGTGACGATTAAACTAATGAAATTGTTGTATCTTGCATCGGGGCTAGTATTTATAGCTTTGCCCTGTGATATGGAATGGCTACAATTAAGTACCGATTATCCAGCTTTGATTCGGTGCCAATTGCTATTTGGAATTGGTACTTATCTGATCTTGTAGACTATGGATCTATGCTACGAGACTATTGCATAAATGGCACTAATTCCTGACCATCCTCATCGTGATTGGCCAGTCAATGTAAGCTTCAATCAATTGATCGATTTCAAAAACTTTTGGTCAAAGTAAAGAACAGTCGATTCAGTCCACTTTGAGATGAAATGGACTTGCCTCTAAATGAGTTCATGCATGTTCTCAGACTTGAACATTTTCGAACCCCAGATATCACTGATTTCACACTTACTTTTCTCAAAGATGCCAACTCTAAAAGAACAAAGAATTATCTCTATTCACGACAAGATGAAGAACTCAATCCTTTGTCGCTGGTGAAACTTCAATTCTAACTATGAATAGTCCTCGTTGTCTTTGTATCTGAAAAAGGATGGTCAGACCTGTTGTTACTTTGTTGGAATGTTGTGAAAGAAATTTTGCTTCCCTTTCATAAAAATCAGTTAACTGTGCAAGAACAATCCGATTGTTGACTATATCAGAAGTGGGCGACTTTCTTGAAATTGGTTTTGGTAATGTACCTTCTGAAATTTTCATCACAAACTCATCTTATCAATCATTCTAATCAAGATGCTTAACCCAACAGTATCATCTCCAGAAGCAGAGTCACGGCTCACTTTTGGTGTCGAACTAGAATTCCTCTTAGCTACTATATCCAAGGGCGGTGAAACCCCTCATCCAAGTGATCCTCGCGAGGTAGATCCAAGAATTCTCGCGGATGAAGATTCGATAAATTATGATATTGAGAGGAAATTGGAGGAAGTTGGCATTGCAGCAACGGTGAAGGAGTCCGACTATGGAAATCTGGGAGAAGTTAATGCAGCCGCTGCTACCGATTGGATATTGCAAACTGACTTCACCGTTGGCCCGGGCCAGCAAAATTCAAACGTCAGAAAGTATCTTGAATATGGCATGGAAATGTCATCTCCTCCCTACTACTACGATGAAGCCACTCGAAGGACCGTAGAAACAGTTGTGAGGAAATTGAGAAATAGTTACTTAGTTCGCGTCAACGAAACTACAGGGCTGCATGTTCATGTCGGCATTGGATACCGTGGTTTCGACTGGCCCATCTTGCGTAACTTTTTGGCCATTGCATGGACCTACGAACGTCAGATTTTGTTGATAATGCCTGAGATTCGGCTAGATAACCCACATTGTAAGTCCCTCAGAGATTCCAAACTAGGTAGCTACGATCCCAGGCTCACTCGCCTTGAGGTTCTAAATCGTATTCTGTCATTTACTAATAATGGGCAAGTAGTTAGGGAAATTGGAAGCAGAAATACAGGCTTTAACATAAGTAATTTGGCTCCTCCTTTCCTTTCTAGTTTTGGCAAACGCACAATCGAGTTTCGTCACCACCCTGGAACTCTCGACTCGGAGAGCATTTTACACTGGGTTCACATATGCGTGAAGTTGGTCGAAAAGGCATGTCTCATCAAGAACGAAGCCGAGCTTTTTGAACAACTCCGAACCGACGTTGAAAAGCCAGTTGGATTTGGAGACAAGAATAATGTTACCACGGTCGACTATCTTATGTGGCTTGGCTGTCCATCCCAAGCATACTACTATGGTAAGCAGCTCATATCCGACAAGGTCCGAGTAGAGAAAAGAATAAGAGATGCTGCAGAAGAAGAAGCGAAGAGCGTACCTACACAACCCGCAGGACTTCCGCAAAATATGCTAGACATCTTGCGGAATGCCCTCGGGACACCCAGAAATAGGTAATGGAGATGATGCAAACTAGTCCTTATAAAATATCGAGAGGCGTTTGAATCCAGAATGTAATTATCTCGTTGTCAAGGCCCAAGAACTCACAAGGATAATAAGAGGTAAGTCGCTCTCATATCTTTCTCCGCTCTGATATACTGGTGGTCGGCGTGCAAGTGGGTATATATGCATGCTACGAATAAAACGAAAACCATGGTAAAATATTCTCAATCATTTGTCCTTCGTTATCCCTATAATTTATATGATTTTTTATCTTTAATATCAATTTGAAAAGTTTCATTGAAAACGTGAATAGAGTGAAGTATGTGATGGAGGATCTGGTTCTTGTCAAATTCGGCCCCCTTCAACCGAGAAATAATAAATGCGCCATCTCATCACAGCAAATCGAATTCTTATTCAGTAAATCCTTGTATATTTAGAAGCAAAGAATGTGTATACCTGTTCCAAATCAATATTTACACTGTGGATAATTGACTAGCAGACCATCAGGACTCCATAAAAGTTCGTGAAAGGGATGTGCTGCAATCTCCAGAGATCAAAAACCATAAAGTGTCTAAGAAGACTCATTTTGGACAAAAAACCGGGCACACCAATGAGAGGAGGAATCTAGGCGGTCTAGACTCCCCGGCCTCGAACAAATTATAATAAACACGTGCCGCACGCGAACGCTTCAAGATATCGCTTGTAATTTCCAATTATCTCATCCTCAGACCATACGGTGATTACATAATTTGAGGCCTTGATTTCGAGGCAGGGCCTCCCGAAGGTTCACTGTAGGGTCTGAAACTATTTGATTCCGGCTTTGGTGTAGAAACCAATAATTCGTTATTTTTCGATTTTTCAATTAAAGATTATAAATTATTCAACAATTGTATCAAGTTAATACTAATTCAATATATATAGATAGATTTTCTTATTATTTTAATATAATTTTTATTATTATAATTCTATTCGATTATATATATATATATCAAAAATATAGATTTTTGAAAACCAATATTTCATTAAATTAAGCCCCCAACCTTTTCAAAATCAACCATCACCACCATTCTAATTAAAAATATATATATCCTAAAAATCCTATAATCTATATCATCCTCCTTATATAAATAAAATTTTAAATAATAAAGATTGATATTGATTTCGAAAAGGTTGAATACTATATAACTAAACTTTTGAAACTGGATGCCTTAAACTTAAAGCATATAGCTCAAATTGAAAAGCAATTCAACCTCCATCGACAACATAACCCCAACACCATTAATATAATTGAAATAAAGACTTACAAGATATTCAATTCAATTAGGCAATTCGATTAATACTATTTTCATAATTAGTATAGATAATTTGAAATAATTGAAAATAACTTAGCTGATTGAAAAAAAATTCTTCCCAAAGCAATTTCACAGTAACCTCAAATCCAATCAATCTGAAGCTGATTCATATAATAATATCAATTGAGCTCTTTCGAATACATTAATTAGTTTTTCAATAAATAGTAGTTGAAAGGGTGATATATATTATTGAAGTGCTCTTACCAAACGAATTGAGTTGTACACCAAAAACACGACCAAATACTCTCAGACTCTCGAGGAGATAAACGTTCCCTCCGATCCCTGATTGGCCGAAAAAAATTCGATCATTAGTAAGCCACAACACCACCACTATAGAAAAGATCAAGATATTATTCAGAATTCAATGAAATACGTTCTATCGACGAAGAGGGTCTGAATATTGAGATAAATTTCCAATAACATTTTAACTCTTCAAGGTCAGTCCAGTTGCATTTATTGATAGATTCATTGAGTTCCATGATGGAGAGAATTGATGGTGAATTTTGAAAACCTCCAAATTAGTTCATTGCAGCAGCCATGTCCATCGATCTTGTTTCATTGTGCATTAGGGGTTCTTTGTGTCTCATGTTGCGATAATCGAAGAAGGAGGTCTGGATAAAAATACTCCCGTACCTCGAAGAATGACGGCTGAGGTTCCCCACTCAATGTTGACATGTCATCTCATCTCACCAAGATAGGATAATATTAGGTCCTAGCTTTGAAATAGTATTGTGTTGTGAGTCAAATGTATCGAGCTTTCAGATTTAAAAATTTTGGTGGTGCATATCAATGTGTTGCAGTATGATTGGTTGGTAAAGCCAGGGGTAAGTTAGTGTGGGCCCTCCTGCCTTCTTCTTGACAATTTTTATTGCAAAAATGCACATTTTTGGAGGTATGAAATATATGCATTTCTAAACGAAGAAAATCTTGGGATCGGTAATGTTACAATAAAGTTGAGGCTCTGAAAGATAGTTCAGTTCGTGACGTCGGTTTAGGTTAAGCGAGGAGAGGTGACAGAAATTGTGAACTTGGGATCAGGCAGCAGCGCTTAGTTCTAACACCGATGAAGTAATACTAGCTGATAAAACTGACTATTTACGACAGCCAGCCTTCGACATTTCTTACTCGACCAGAGAATCAGTGATTGTTATGACTTATCCCCTCGAATGGTCGTAAGACACGGGCTGATAGTATACCGAAGTATTTTAAGATCTTACACATGCTTGCAATCATAATCTAGGGCTTATGGACAACAAATTAGTGTAAGTAGAGATATAATGGATGTGGAGAACATCCACGGTAGAGAAGACTAGTTTCATGATCTGCCATGCTATTTTGTTTGCTGCATTTCCTTTTGCCTCTTTTCGAAAGATAGGTGCGACGCTTCTAGCGTAATGATCTTCTTCACACTCCTATATCTCTCACCTTTTTCTTCTTCTTTGTTTCTTGTATCACGACCTTCAAAATTGGCTGTTTCGGTGTCTGTTTAAGCACGGATACGCCCTCTCAACAAGTATGGCCGTAGATGTCGATGCCATGGTGAACGCAGATGGAGTCGAGGAGGTTATTTCAGATGTCTCCATGCCTTCATGGTTTATGGACAATTGTGTCAAAACTGCGTTCGAGCTGGGCCAGGAACTGCGTCGAATTGTCATCCTTCCGCCAAATCCGCCCAATCCCACCGAAAAAGTCAAAGATACGACATCAAATGGCCAGGCATCTCAGGAAGAAAGATATGAATTGGATTATTTTTTGTACGATGAACTTTTCAACCTGGTCATGCCAAAACAAAAGGCTGAGGGCCTCAAATCGACCTTTAGTTCAGGCAAAACTCCCAAGTTTGCGCTTGATGCTGTTCAACTTCTTCTCCCTGGAGGGTTCCATGCTTTTCTTGGCCAAGAATTCTTCTCAGAGGTGGCAAAGAAGTTTGCTAGTGATGTGCAGGCGGATTTGGTTGAATTGAATATAGACGATTTTAGAGATTTGGCAGAGCATTTTGGGAAAGGAAAAGATTCAGAACACCGAGATGGCCAAAAAAGCAGTGACGATCACTACCTCAATCTACTCTACGATCGGTGTATGTGCGTGGAGCTCTGCTGCCCAGCTTCTTCTGTCTGTAGTACATTACGCTCGTCTTCTCCCGTTACAAGGAGTGGATCTAGTGATAGTGCATCTGACAATAGTGCGTCTAGCGTTGGAACGACAAATTCTCAGGAATATGGAATCGAGTGCGTGAAAAGGACAAGAAAATTTTCCGACAGGCTCTTCTTCCTATCGCAGTACCTTGGTCTTCTGACTTTTGCCGCGATCCTTTTATTGACGGTGATTTCTGTTTTGACAGGCAGTATCATTTTCCGTCACAAGTTGATGTGTCAAAAGACATCAGGAATCTGCAACGAGATGTGTTCAACTTTATCTCAAGACGAAGAGGAACTGTCGTCGGTTGATGAACAGCTGGAAAGCAATGAGTCGGTAGTAGGACATGGAATGCAGAAGATCCACCAAATCGAACCTTTCCTTGCTAACCCCGAGGAAATGGAAATTGACGACATGGAAAATTCTCAGTATACTGCTCTCTTGAAGAAGATCATTGAGTCTCATTTGTTGAAGAATACTCTGGGAAGAACTGGAGATAAAGAGGACGTAGAATCACCAGCGCTGGTAATTCTCGTCTCAGGTGTTGGCAGGTTTTGTAGTTACAAAAAGTATCTTCAGGTGTTCAAACATCTACAAACCGCTATCAGGACTTTATCAAAAGAAGATACAATCATTATGATGTCAGGAGGAGATGACGATGGTATTCTTGATTCAATCAGTAATCACACCCAGAAAGGTATTCTGCGCATGTTTACTGCCAGAAGCCAGGCACAGTATAGACTCCTCGAAAAAGATAAGGAGAAGGCAAGATTAAAAGAGAATATAAGACACCTACAACGTTGCATTAGAATGTCGCCAGAAGCAAAAATGTCACCTTTGGCACAGCCTTACGCTGTAGATTGGGAGACTTTCATTCCAGATGCTACCTTGCGAGCTATGCGCCGTCATTTCTTTCCTTGGGACAACATAGAGATTATCGCCAGAACGATAGCGAAACGCCAACTGGATATTGACTCTATGAAGCTAGTTATGGAAACATATGAGAAGCGAAGTGAAGCAGAGAAGCAGTGGCTCGAAAATCACGAAGATGAGGATGATCAAAAAGCGCCGTGGAAATCGAAGCTCCCCCGACGGGCTTGGAGCATAGCGGAACAGATATCGAAGAGTCAAGAAGACGAGCATTTGTACCAATTGCTCGACACTGTTGTCAGTCCAGGTAGTTATGCCATCACATTGCGTGTCTTGATCATAAAATAAAATTCTCACACTTTCACAGGCGATCTTAATACAACTTGGTCAAACATCGAACTTGACTCAGATATCAAGGCCCGCATTACAGATCTAATCTCACTCGGAGAATCTCAAAAAGATTCTTGTGGAATTCTTAAGACCTCGGCTGGAGGCGCACTTCTGTACGGTCCTCCGGGGACTGGTAAGACACAACTCGCAAGAGTACTTGCAAAGACCTCTGGATCAATCATGCTTAGCGTCTCTGGCGCCGAAATGGAAAGCAAATATGTCGGTGAGACGGAAAAGCTCGTTGCAAGTTTGTTCAAGCTCGGGAAGATGCTTTTCCCATCTATCATCTTCATCGACGAAGCGGACTCTTTGTTTAGCTCTCGTAGCCAAGGTGGATCAGGGTCAATCTACCAGAGAAAGCTCGTCAATCAGCTGCTACAGGAAGCAGACGGCGTCTCCAAAGATTCAACCTCGCCTTTCTTACTTCTTGCAACAAACTTACCCCATCTGCTTGATCCTGCAGTGTTGAGACGAGTACCTTGTCGAATCTACATTGGACTCCCCACGATCTCAGCAAGAGAGAACATGTTCCGTATGTTCTTGAAAGAAGAATCCTTAGATAGGAGTGTCGATCTAAAGAAGCTTGCGGAAGTAACACATCGATATACTGGGTCAGACATCATGGCTTTGTGCGTTGAAACCGCTGTTATCTCGCAACGAGAATATCGCAACAAAGAAACGGGCGAGGCCTTGGATGTTAAGAACAATAGAATCTTGACTATTTCACACTTCCACCAGGCATTAAAAAGCAACACTCCTACAACATCTCCACAACTCATGCAAGAGATGCGAAGATTTGCGCAAATGTATGACAAATCTGCTGTATCAAGAATGGTGCTTTACCAGTATTGGTAAGATTTGATGATTACCAATGACGAAGATCAGGGGGCGCGACATAATTCATTCGAATAAGCGGTACTTCGTTATCCTTGTTGTATCTCTGGGGTTAATGGCAAGAGGTGGTGCTAATCCCGATGAAAAATGAAGTGGGAGTGAGGTAATGAACGAATCGAGAGATTGAGCACTGGGAATGATGAATGTGTGTTCCGAGAGCTTGGCTGGAGAAAGTGTTCAGTCAGACCTGGAAGTTGAACATTCTGGCCATGACCAACGGAGAGTTAGCATCTTGATGAAGCATAGTAATAGGAGAGGATATTCTCCGGTAATCAGGTAATTTTTAATGTGCTTAGTCAAATGGTATTGTCAGCGATAATGGGTGTTTATGTCGAAGAAAGGGGGTGGCTGCATAAACGATTGCCCAGGTGAGTTGACTTTGTGGCTGAGAGCCGTGCGGTGAGGCTTACCTGAGCACGTCAATCAGACCAAGAATTATCAGATTTAAACCTCAGTATCTCACGAGTTAATAATATCAAATATTTTGGTAAATTTAGTTTTCATGTAATGCCTTAATGACTTCCTCAAGCACTTTTCTACTTTCCTAGAGCTGTGGTTCCAATATCTCTTTCCATGTACTAGACGCGGTTGTTTCCATCCATTATTCATGTCGAAAATTGATACATCTCTGGCTGAGAGTAATCATTCAGACCTAATAACCAGCCTTTCGAACGAAAAGAACATCTGGGAAAGAGCTATTCGACGCATCTAAAAGTGGATGCGTCTCGATACCTTTGAGAGTCCAATCGAAGAACTCACGAACATACGAGGTAATGTCGTGAATCTCACGAGGTCCATCAATAGTATCAATGAGTGTCTCAAAGTAAGATTCATTGACTGATCGAACGCCAGCCACATCAATAACAAACGGTAGATCAGTGAATGAGTTATGAATTGTCTTGGGAAGTTCAAGAGATACCCTAGGATCTTTTGGAGTCAAAAGATCCGTCGTGTTCCAGAATGCAGTCCATGATGGGTCACTAGCAATAGTGTGATTATCATGTGCAAAGAACATGTAAGATTTTTTGATCTCGGATGAGCTACCGAGTCCAGTTGGTCCAACAGGGGGTTGCAATTTACCGTCCAAGTTGCAACCTGCCACGTATTTGCCCGTTGTGTCTGCTTGCAATACAGCGGTCTGAGATGAAGCTCCCAAGGAATGTCCGTATAGACCAACAACCTCAGAAGTTTCCGAATATACACTCGTGACGAACTCAATATCTTTGACACGGATGTTTTGGAGATACGCGCTAGTCGTGTCAGTTGGGGCTCCGCTGACGTACGCACTGTAAATGATGGTTCCATCTGGAAATTCTACAATTGCTGCATCATATGGATGATCGATTGTCACAATTCTGTAGCCCCAGCTAGAAATTGCTTGTGCGATAGCACCGTACTGGAGACGACTGGTATAGAAACCACCAGTCCAGATGAGAAGAGGCGTATCAGGCTTGGTGGTTGGTGCTTCAAGGCAAATATCGGAAAATTTGAGTTGAGAGAATGTTGTCAAATCAGGGCTTGGGAGATCGTTCTCATTGAACCACTTTGCCACGGCAGCTGGCATGTAGTCGATTTCGCCAATGTTAGCACAATCCTCCCTAAGATATGGCTCATAATAGCTGACTACAAGCTGACGGTATGGGGAAGATCCATTGAATGGGTTGGCCCGCGACGTGTCGGTAAGCTCTGATACTGTAATTGTGGAAGTATATGGTCCTTCCGGAACAGGAAGTGGGATGACGGTGGTATTAAGAGATGCCTGACCAATGACGAGGGAGGGGACAAAGAACAGGAAGAAGGCAGCACCGAGAGCAAGCGATGCCATAGTGAAGAATTGGTAGATTCTTCTAGCACAGATGATTCTCGTAGAAGAGAGTAGAAAGATGCGAAGAGACTAAGATAAGCAAGGAAAAGCTACTTTCTTAAATCAAATATTGACTTTTAGGTGTCGCTAAGCTAGCTTTAAAAAGGGCAATAGGATCTTGGGAGAAAGAGGGAGTCATTAGTCTGCCGCGTGTCGACTTAGCACGAATCGCACAAAAACCCTTGGAAACAATGGGAAAGTGGTCGAGGTGGGGGTGGGGCATACTACCAAAGTCCGCTTTACCTCCTCCTTGAGCCATTGTGGAGAGTATAAGGTTTCTCAATGACACGAGCTCGAGAAGAGACTTTGAGAACCATCGGGCGGGCTTTTCATGCCAGCCGGAGATTCTCAGCTTTGTGAATGTCAAAGAATCAATTGCTAATCCACCATGGACCAAGTTTGCCAGGTTTCCAGAGGTCACACGTAATTTCTACTACAATACGGAGTAAAGTTCTTCCCCATAACCGAACTTAATTGTGCGGGACTTGAGGAATCAGCATTGCGGTACTCACTGCTGCATACCTCCATAGCTCAAAAGCACATCAACTGTATAAACAATACATTAGCTTTCGGTCCTTCTTTCTAAACTAACACATTCCCACCTTAGCAAGCTTTCCCTATGGTTTCTTTTTGTATCGGTCCCGAGCCAGTGTACCGGTGTGTCGGGTATAATGGGATTTAAGGCACGATTTCAGGGTGCGTCTACGCGAGTGGGGGCTTTCAACCCTTACTTCCCCCCACCCTTCAACTAGCACTGACATGACACCGTCATAAGCCAATTATCGAACCCATTTCGACTTATGCGGGGGTGTAGGGTTTTGCGGAGAACGGAATGCGGGGAATTCACCTCAAAGTCTTTCGTAAAAAAACTGCACTACTATGGCATGTAGCAAACGCACTGATACTGCATAAGGGCGGGGGGGTGTTGGAGGATGTATAGTTCCTACAAAGATTTGCTATTAGGACCAAAGGTGGGATGATATCAGAGTTTCCAGTGCTTCTTACTGATAATTATGGACTTCCGAACCTCTCCCTCACGTGTTATGGTTATCGAATCTTGCTAGCGAATGTACATTCAGGGCCAAATGCACTTTTCAAGCATCAGCACCGAGCAGCCGCTCATCCATCGATGACACTGTGAAAAGACACAGGAATAAAATCAGGATAAAATTCTAGATTATGGAACTCAAAAACTGGAGACTAAGGCGTGTCAGTGCATCGCGGAAAGGAACACTATGGAAGTGAGTTAAGTAGGTATTATTATAAATCCGAATTATATCTTAGTTGGGTGCATGCATGTACTTTGCATACATACTTCACATCACGGATTTAGAAATACACAACATTGTGGTATCCGTCTAAGCCGCGATTACTAGCAGCCCCGCGCTACAAACAAGGAGTGCCTCTGCTTTTGTAATGAGGTAAAGGTGACGTATCAATGCAGTCATTGGTAAGACGAGAGTGGTGGGTATAACTTCGCTTTTGTAATATTCCAACCCTGCCGATTATTCAACTTCAAAGGGCAATTAGCTCGATTTATCTTTTGACTCATATTGTGTATATAAGGTCTCCAGATGTCTCCTGAGTTTCTTATCTGATCATCCATTTGCATCTGCATCTCTCAGATCATCTACTATTGCATACACCAGACGGAGCTTCTTCTTAGGTGGTGAATGTCGCTTTGCTTGGATCTTTCATTCACAACACCGAAAAGATGATTGGATTGATTAAAGCTGTGGCTTCTGTCTTGGCTATTGGCTCTGGTTCATTGCTTGCAAATGCAGGACCAATAGTCTTGAAACCAAGAAGCACGAATAACTCGGAGAGTTTCAGTATTAAAGCTCCGCTTGTGGTTCAAACATCTAGTGGAATTGGTAAGCAGTCAAGCAATCTATATGGATCGACTTGATAGCCAGGCAGAAATTTGACTAATGTTCTCATAAGTTCATGGTGCCATCAACGAAAGTGTCCCCTTGACTCGACACTTTCTGGGTATTCCATACGCACAATCAACGTTCGGTAAGAATCGTTTTCGAAAAGCACAACCACTTCCTGCGTCCGCAGCGCAACAAATTATCCACGCCGATGCATTCGGTCCCAATTGCCCCCAGTATGAAGCAACCCCTGCATCTGTCTACACTGACGTGAGACGTGAATATTTCATTCAAGGTGTTAATGGAGATGATTGTTTAAGTGTTAGTGTTTGGGCACCATTGTACCCGACCGAGGACAAAGTCCCCGTAATCGTTTGGATCTATGGAGGTGGTCAGACCACAGGTGGTTCATCTGTACCTTACCAGAATCCACAGCGTTGGGTCCAGCGTACTCAATCGCATATTGTCGTCTCATTGCAATACAGACTGAACTTTTTCGGTCAACCAAACACACCAATTGAAAATGCTGGACTCTACATTTTTGATGCTAGAGCTGCCCTCGAATGGATTCGAGACAATATTGTCGCCTTCGGTGGTGATCCTTCGCGCATGGTACTTTGGGGTCAATCTGCTGGAGCTACTCTGACTGGAGCTCTCAGCATCGGTTGGCCAGATGATCCAATTGTCACTGGATTTATCCAAGATTCCGGCGCTGTCGAGGGCCAGGGTGTCCATACCATTTACACTGATACCACTCACTCGAACTTTACCTTTTTGGCAAATGAGCTTGGATGCACTGGTAATACCACAAGTCAGGTTGAGTGCATGAGCACTTATCCACAAGCTGATATCGAGGCGTTTATTCAATTTTGGACTGATGCTGGCAAGACGCCTGCGTTGGTTTTTGAGTCGTATAATGATAACAACAACACATTTGCGAACTATACTGCTGCATATCTTTCTGGTCATTACGCAAAGCTACCAAAAATATTGGGACATAACTTGGTAAGCTCTTTCTCTTCTCGTCTTTCCTGCTTGCTCATCAACAAGGAACCCTCCAAGAATCAAGCCCACTAACATGTCAAACCACAGATTGATGGAGCTTCCACCGCTGCACTCTCCTCCGGCCCTCCTGACATCGAGGGCCCAACCCCCGAAAAGGAATTAGCGGCTACGTTACACGTTCGTTGCGGCGTCGTAGCCGAAGCGCAAATCCGACAATCTCTCAACGCAACAACCTACCGCTTTGAATATTCCGGAAACTTTAGTAATCTCTCGCCACTCCCCTTCATGGGAGCGTATCATTCCAGTGAACTGCCCATGATTTTTGGAACATATGCTGATGTTGGTGGAGACGGAACACGATTTCAGAAGGATACCAGTGAGGCAATGCAAGATCTTTGGTTGGCATTCGCAAGGGATCCAGAGAATGGATTGAGCAACGCGGGGTGGCCTAAATATGAAGAGGGCAGTGTGGAGGTACTGGGAGGTGAGCAAAACGGTACCCTAGTTACACATTATGCGACGCCAAAGGCGGGGATCGAGGACGCTTGTCTTACTTATACTGGAAATTGAGGAGGGATGTTAATATTAATATTCATGATGACGTTAAGGATCTCTGATGAGGTTGGATCAATCGTGCAACAGTTTATCATTAAATATCCCAAAATGATCACCTCTCTACCTCTCTATACATTTCTCTGCCCTGCAAATACAAAACACAATGTAGTCCATCGACAGAGCTACATTACATGACCTCAGTGAGAGCTAAAGTTGCCACCCAGGCCAGGCGATACGATTGAACGTACGCTCAGCTGCGTGATATCTTGCAATGGATCGTTTGTTTAGATGATTGTAGAACGCTGATGCTGTCGATATCATTCAGCTTACAGCTGATAGGGAGGTGCAGTAGAGCCGATGGGTGAAAACAATGCCATACAATTTCTTTTCTTTTACTGCCAACAATTTTATATTGAGACCAGATACTAGTTTAAAAAAAATCGTACCTGTAAACATCGCCAAAGAAACACAAAAAATGAAGAGTTGAGAGGAAACATCACAATATCAAAGATTTCGGGAATTGTCATGCACGTGATACTAGTCTACCGAGGAAGCGGGTTGGTGTGGGGAAGCTTAGGCCGAGCGAAACCGGTCGGTCCTTCATCATCAAGAGCTTCAAACTGTGATTCTTCCACGACGACGAATTTTCCAATACTCCTACTATAAATATGTCCGCCCTAAGAATTCTCGTACCCGTAAAGAGGGTCATTGACTATGCGGTCCGCATTCCCACTCTCTCCGAATTTTCAACGACAAATCCAATCCCTTGATTTCCGCCGCGCAAAGAAAAAATGCCTCTAACTAACCCAAACACAACAGGTCAAACCCCGCGTCAACAAAGCCCAGACAGCCATTGAGACCAATGGCGTCAAACACAGCATGAACCCTTTCGACGAACTCTCGATTGAAGAATCTGTACGAATTCGCGAGAAGAAATCCGCGCCCGGCGGCGTCGAAGAAATCCTCGCATTTTCCGCTGGACCGACCAAATCGCAAGATATTCTACGTACAGCTATGGCTATGGGTGCTGATCGCAGTTTACTGGTTGAGATGAAAGATGGAGAAGAATTGGAACCATTGGGAGTAGCGAAACTGTTACAAAAGGTTGTGGAGAAGGAGAAGAGCAATTTGGTATTTTTGGGGAAACAAAGTATTGATGATGATGCGGGGCAAACCGGACAAATGTTGGCGGGGTTATTGGGATGGAGTCAAGCGACGCAGGCGAGTAAGGTGGAGTTCAAGGATGGAGATATAGTTGAGGTTACGAAGGAGGTGGATGGCGGAACGGATGTGGTGAGGGGCAAATTACCTATGGTTATCACAACAGATCTGAGATTGAATGAACCGAGATATGCGAGCTTGCAGAGCATCATGAAGGCAAAGAAGAAGAAGTTGGAGAAATCTACACTTGGTGACTGGGGCGTCGATGGTACCAAGAGATTAAAGACTTTGAAGGTTATTGGTAGGTCAATCATTTTATACAGGCATTTGATGATTCAAGCACTGGGTGGGTATACTGGATATCTACTAACAACATGGATATAGAACCACCGCCAAGACAAGGAGGCGGTAAAGTCGACGACGTTGATGGAATGATCTCCAAATTGAAGGAATTGGGCGCATTATAAAGGGAAGGGAAAAGATCATGGATGAAAATGGGTGTAAATATGTACGAATTATAGGATCAGGCGAAGAAAAGCGTTGGGCTTCAGACGTGAGTAGAAGTTAGAAATGATCAAGTCTACTTGCACATCATTTCGATAGATCTATGACGAGAAACAGATCCAGTGCGAAATCAGCGCTCGGTGTATAATGCTTGAAGGAGCTCTCACTGTCGATGATGCTGTGCCTTCTATTCAACCCATTGATCGCAAATTCATCTGAGTCAGACTTCGTGTAATATACTACGATTGAAATGTAATGATTCTTTGTGCATTACTCATCCGGTACTGCAAGTGAAAACTAGCCCAACACTACTCGAACACCGTTGGAGAAGTACTCGTATAACGGGCTGTACTGGAGATTGAATAACTGTCCGAATTGCGCACCTCACCTCCGATGCCTCCGAGCGACCCAAACTTCTCCATATAGCTAATTTGTTGACGTCGATCTTCCCCAACTTATTTACTGTCAAACTATGTCTCCCTACGGATTATCACCTTCCTATAGTGGCACCCTCCGTACATTACGAGAAGGTTATTTTGAATTTGTAAATCATCCCTCCCAAAAACCCAAGATCATCATCATACATCCTGAGCCTCCCCCCCCAAAAAGTTTAATAGCATCAATATAATTAAATTAAATTTGTTGACATGATGAGATGTCTTGATTCTCTTGGGACTTGGGTATTCCAAGGTTATGGAGAGTGGTATACATCAAGGTGTATTTTTCCTCTCGCTTACATGATGTTATACCGGTGGATGCTATTTAGTGTAATGACTTATTACTCTTGCTCTCCTGAGTCTCACCAATCATCAATTAGTGCCCATGGCCCTGAAAATGTGAATCACCAAATTTTAAAAATTATAAACTTTGGACTATTTAATTTTGAAGTTCTGAAAATTCCTATTGAACCTTATTGTTTTCTTTTTTCTATTTGAAGAATTCGATAATGATTTATCAGTACAGTTCGCATTGTGAACCGAGTCGAGTCCCTCTGCTTCTCTGCTTGTTGTTAGTAAACAAAGTTATTAATCAATATTGAACACAGCTGTGTTATTGTTATCTACCTACCTACGCAAGACAAATCTGTAGAGAATTTACATTGGATTTCTTTCTTCTCATTGTTCTGATGAACGTGTCGTTACAGCGCGCAAAATACACCATCTACCTATCCCTCCTCCTCCTACATCATACCCGCATGTCCACTTCTGTTAGTACGGTACGGAGTAAGCCACCAACGGGGAGGCTTGGCCCTACGCTCTATCTCCATACCCAGACCAGCCAATTTGCCCATTCTCCCTAACACAACTCGCTTAGCAAGAATGCGTTAGGGAATGCGTACTGTGTACTAGCAAGACCCCTGAATAGGGCGGGATGCATGAGCTGGTTGAAACTACGTTTTATTTTCTACATCTGTATTGTTTCTAGTTGTGAGAAAGAAGGCTGTGCTGATTGATGGGATAATCCGATAGGGAATATTGTGTGATGGGGAAGCGAAATTATGAGTGGTGATCTTGGGCGAAGAATGTCGATCTGGGGGGGAGAGTGGAGTTCAGTGAGGCCTTGTTGAAAGTATGAATGGAATAAAGTAAAGAAGGTGATGGAAAGAGAAGAGTGGGAGATGAGGTTCAGATTTAGACATCTGTATCTATGGGAACGACGGGGGTGATCGAATGAATATATACGAATTTTACGTTCCGAACACAAATGAAACTCGAGATTTGAAACCACATCAATCAAGCCAACAACGCCTAAACCCATAACAGCCATCTTCCCGGTCATTGATAAGAAGAGACGCGATTTCATACTCCCTACAGCATCGTGGCAAAGAGTCTGTACCATGTGAAATAACCTTTTTCGGCGTTAAAAGTCATAGCGAATCTTTTGACGTCCAAGCTAGAAGTATCAAAATTGCTTCTAGCGCGCTCTTATCTCTGGCTCGTGATCTTCCATTTCATCTTAGAAACGTGCTCCCGGAAATGTTAATTTTTGGTATACAAGAATAAACTTCCCACTGAAAGTTGGCTATTTTACTCATCCTCTCATCTTGCATTTCATGTGCTATCTCTCCAAAATTCGCCCCGATCGCCATCCCGTTAATTAAATTCGCTGGTGCGCTTAATACTTCCTTCGTTCGAGCCTATCATGATATAAGAATTGTCGGTACATGCACGAGAATTCTCTTGCAGAATATTGCATAGGGGAACCGTGAATAAAAAACGACTGAGAAACACGAAATGCACTCACTATTGGTGGAATCGGCGACTTGGTTCCCGTTTGTGGTGTTGATTCTAATCCTCAGATAGTATGTATTATCACACATTCACAGTAGCATTTTGTCCACCGCGATTTGAGGTTGACACTGTGCTCCCGGCCACAGTGAGAACTGAACCAGTTGCGAATAGAACTAACGAGTCTTCTTCTCAGTATTTCGAGATGGCTACAACTTGGGTCGGTAAAGAATTACCAACTACAAGATTATGTTATGCTCGTTGTGTTTGTAAGTGATGCCTATTTCAAGTCAGTTTTTTAGATCTAACACACATCATAGCTCTTCTACACTACTCTCATGGTATCTATAAACATTGTATTCAATTTAGATACAAATCTCATCTCACCAGCTGATATTCCACAAGTTCGTGTTCTAATCCAAAGTCTTCCGAATTGGAGAGCTGACAGAAGCTCAATAGCTCACTCCTGAATCAATTGCATCTCGTGTGAAAGGCAGCAAACTCGTGCTCGTAGTGGAACAGTCAATGATCATGACTATTTGGGGTGGCAAAGCTTGTTTGTTGTTAATGTATATGCAGATGATGTTTGTCCTCTTCTCCAACGCATGTTGGCTATATTAACGAAAGATATAGGCAGGGTATTAAACCCCACAATTTCATTGTAAAACTAGTCGCCACATACGTGGGTACAAGCTTGGTGGTCATGGAGGTTCTTTATTTTGGGGTATGGTGCAGACCATTCTCAAACTATTGGGCAGTCCCTACTCCGAATGGTTTGTCTGAAGCAACGTCTTTTCCTCTGAGATCGTAGACTAATATGAAGATTACAGAACAGTGCTCAACAGCTCTTCATCACTTGATAGTAAACGCAACATTCAACATCAGTTCCGATCTCATGATGTTGTTTCTACCAATGCCGATGGTCATCAAGGCACAGCTCCCTACCCTGAAGTTCGTTCCCATCTTCATTTGGTCTCTGTCATTCGTTTGTGCCACTTACTAACAGTGTATTTAGGAAAGCGCTTCTCATCAGCGTCTTCTCCCTTGGCACGTTTGCCATCATATCTGCTGCAGCTAATAAATATTATTCCTTCGTGCATCCTTTTGGTGTGATGTGGACCTACGTAAGTTCAATTAATTGCTTTGTCCTCAAAACACTAATATTAATTAATGAAGTGGTATATAAGAGAAGCATCAACTGTGATGCTCGTGACCAATATACCGATGTGTTGGCCATTGGCAAGAAAACTATTTGGTTGGAGATCGTGGTCTGGAACTAGTGAAGGCACCAAGTCAAAGAGCAGAGCGGCTCCTAAGAGATACTTCACCAACGCGACCAGTTCAAGATTCGGGAACAAAAGAGACAACTCGATGTATAGAAGTGAAAGTAGAGATGTAATAATACACGGAAGTACACAAGATGGTTCAGCAATAGGGTAAGTTCCTTGTGCCCTCAACGTCTCCGTTGAGATATTTGTGTCTTCCGAATTCGGTCGTCTCCATCCTAGAAAATGAACTAACTGTTGATGATAGGCTGGAAATATGGGAAAGTAGGGAAGTGAGTGTAAAAACTGAGCAAAAGAACCCCAGAGAAGAACGTATCAAGAATACAACAGCCGTCACTGTCATTGGGTCGAGAGGCAGTTCGGGCGAACAAGAACAAGGAAGGAGTAATTCGAGAACAGAGAGTCGACAAGATATAGGCCATGCAGTATAATTGTCTACTTAGAAATGAAATAAAAATGTAATAGACAAAATCCAGGGTTAGAGAGCTTTAGATTCATATACATCGTGATATTTACGCAAAGTCGATAGTACTTGGTGAACTATTTTGATGAGATATCTTCCAGTTGAATTATACTCGGTGTTGTTTTAAATGAATACCAATCTCAATTATAATCGAATTCCTTACCTAAAACTATGCTTATTTAGTATTTTCAAAATTTAATATTAAAAAAAATAATATGATTAGATTCTTCAAATTTCGAAGATATATAGAATATTAATGAAAAAATCTAATATTAAAATTTCAAAGTTTTTGAAATCAAATTGAAGAACTTTCAATAAATAAAAATCTCTTTTAAATAATACTTTTTTCAGACTTAACCTTAAACATTTAAAACCTAAAAATAAACAAATTTTCATTTTTATACTTTCGATATTTTCATTTTCTAAATAATTTAATAACTATATTGAAATATTATAATTTGAAAAGATATTTATAAAATTTAATTAAATCTCTATATATTTATAAAATTTTATATTCCAAATCTTTATAATTGAATTATAATTGAATTTTGAAATAAATAATTTTCGTTGAATTTTGGTATAATATACACTAGCTAAATTGTGGTCGGCATTTATTTAAAACAATACCGAGTAATCTCAAGACGAAGGACGAGAAGCGAAAAGTGGCCAAGATCTGAAAGCCTGGATATCAAGGCAAATCTACCCGTTCACCTTAGGTAATCGACCTCATCCATGTGGCATAGTTCGGATGGTTCCGTAACTTTTTGCAAGGATCAGACGTGATCCTGACGCGTTGAATTTGATTCCAGGCTTTGATAAATTGTTTGCAGGACACAATTTCTAATTCTACGACGAATTGAAGAAATAAAAGTATCCCATCAAGATCACAATTACATAAAACCATTTTACTACCTGATTTTACTATCAATCAATTTTCAATTGACTTTTCTAGAAATGCGCATTTATTAAGTTGACTTTCACACCATTTACAATGACTGATTGGAATAAATTGAAGGTCGTTGACCTGAAGGCAGAGTTGAAGAAACGAGGCCTTCCACAAACCGGTCTCAAACCTGCTCTTGTCGCTCGACTTATATCTGCAGAGAACGAAAATGAGTCGGAAAGTGACATGACAGTTCAGGATGATGCGAGCAAAATAAACCCAGAGTCTACGACATCTCCAGATACAATTTCACCCACACAAATATCTTTCGAGACTGGCACAGAGCCCAGACCTGACAACACAGAAGAATCGCAAGAAAACACAATTCCTGAAAATAGTGAATTGCAAACGTCACCTCCTGAAATTGTCGCAGAGCAACAAACGAGTCCGACTATTGAGCCTGTCGATTTGAAGGAGGCGGCGACTACGTCAACTTCGGCTACAGATGATAATCAACTCCCCTCAAATGAAACAAAGGAGGGTGAGAATATTCAGCCCGCACAACCGATAGATACGACAGAGTTCTCTCTGCCTCCGTCGCAAGCTACATCTCAGCCACCCGAACAACCGGAGGGTAATCGCTCTGCTGAGCTATCCGTGGAACCGCGAGAAGCAATTGAAGATCGACAAAAGAGAAAACGCAGATCGCAAAGTCCGGCGCCTACAGCCACCGATATTTCTCGAAAACGAGCTCGACCAAGCGACAGTATCGAAGAAGTTGCGACTTCTAATGAGGATGCAAAATGGGTGGAGAAACATAATGCGGTTGACACAGGCGAAGTCAACGTTGAATCGAAGGAGGTGACAATGGGTGAAGATGGACCTATGATTGTCGATGACTCCAAAGAAGAAGTAATAGTCGAACAGGCAATCCCAAATACAGATGCGGAAGAAGCTAATAAAATGGACATCGATATCGAGGAACCTCAGCCTCGTGGTGAACTCGTGACAGCTTCACCAGAAGTCTCACGGCCACGCGATTCGAGATTCAAAAATTTATTCTCCTCTCCACAGAAGTCGAATGATGATACAGAAATGCGACATTATTCGCAAGAGCCTATAGAGGATGAAGGATCATACAATCCGATTACTCCCGCTATTCATCCTGCAACTTCAGCTCTATATATCCGTAACTTCGTTCGACCACTTCAAGAACCTCGACTTCATGATTATCTCACAACTTTGGCTACTCCACCTGGCAGTGATCCAGATCCAGATGCGATTTTACATTTTCACATCGACCGCGTCCGCACTCATGCGCTCGTTCAATTCAAAACGCTCTCTGCCGCAGCCAGAGTTCGCAGCGTAATGCACGATCGTGTCTGGCCTGATGAGCCAAATCGCAAAGCATTGTGGGTCGATTTTATACCAGACGAAAGAGTTAAAGAATGGATCGATCAAGAACAAGCATCCGGCCCTGGGCGGAATACAAAAAAGTGGGAGGTAGTCTATGAGGAGATAGAAAATGACGGTGATCGTCAAGTTACTGCTGTTTTGCAGGAAGCTACGGGGGATCCTCAAGTGATGTCTGCCAGAAAGCAATCAATTCCATTTTCCGCACCGACAGGGCCATCAAGGGGCATCGAAGGAGCACCATCTGGACCTAGGAGCTTCAGTGGCCCAAGAGTTGCGCCTATGCGAAACTTGTCAGAGCTTTTTAAATCCACTACAACACAACCAACGCTGTACTGGCAGCCAGCATCAGAAGAATTGGTTAATAGGCGACTAGATGCGATTGCGGCCATTACCACTAAGGATACTTTACGTCATACTGGACAAGACATCAACAGATATACATTTGAGGATCATGACAGATTTGTTGATCGTGGAAAAGAAATCTTCTCGGGTATTAGACCTCCATCTGGTCATCGGGGACCGAGAAATCAGCGTCCAGGACGTCACCAAGGTAGAGGTGGGGGTGGTGGTCGCGGGTATGGACATGGAGGTAGGGGAGGTGATCGAGGCTACGATAGAGGCTATGATAGAGGATCTTATGACAGCTACAGAGGACCACCCCGAGATCAAGATAGACGTTACTGAGAAGCAAAGGAGAAGTAAGATTTTAACAGGTGAAGTTCTCTATACATAACTAGAGAGTTTCATCGAAGATGAGAAGGGCTGTTGCCCGTCGATTTGTAAGATGATTTGATTGTAATGATAGAAAATACTCGAAGTGACTCTCAATACCTAGTACCTATGATTAGTTGGGTGCTTGATATAATATCAATGTTGTACTACTGCTATACATACCTACGTACATACTCTTGGTAGTGCAGTATTTCTTCTCGGCAGATTAATGTTTCTCGGATACCCAGGGAGTCCAGTACAGTACGTTGTTGTTCAAGAAATGCCCGAGAAACGAAGAATTTGGTAATTCGCATGACCTAATTCGTTTTGCTCTTTCCGCCCAGCCACATGGCGGGGTTCTCTTTTTCTCAGCCCCTGATTTTCTTGAATGGAGTAGCACCCGACAGCTCAGCAATGAATGAGTGGTGGAATGAGATGGGGCCCAAAGGGTAAAGATTTTGCAAATTTTCTCGGGGCTGCATGTTATTGTTGATAGATCTACAGAGTTTGTCTGAAAATATGGATGTGTGGAAGGGTTTGTTTACGCAATTGGATGGATGGATGATGAAGTATGTAGAATTTTCTGATGTGGTCTTTCCGAATCATGATGAGGATTGGCTTTATTTCACATACTACTGAGAGGAAGGATAAAGCACAATACTGTAGAGAACTTTGCTATCGATGATCAATAGGTCGTCGGTATCTACCTGTCTACCTAGCTATAGACAATGCTCAATCCGTACATACTGCACACCTATTCCGTACAGATTGATGTTCATGCAATCCGAGGTCTCTTACCTAGGAAATGTTGAAGCTCTATTCGGCATAAGCGGGAAGCTGCTTTTATCATCCATTCTCCTGGATCTACGTTGTTGCAATGTGATTGTCAAAAAAACCAAGAAAGGGAAAGATAAGATGTGATATCCATCATCTCATTGGTCAATTCCAGCTTGGGATCAAAGTATTAAGAAATCGAATTGCGTTTTATAATTGAAGCTTCTAGCGTCCTTCATTGGTTCTTCTACCACTTTTTAGCATTTCATACTATTGAGTCCGTCATCGGCTTTCTAATCTTTCCTTCTCTTCCTTCACTTCCTTCACTTCCATCACGATTCGCTTAACTTTTTCTATCTTCACTTCTTTTTTTTCTTTTTTTTGATGAGTACAAACCCACACAATTGACCAATCACATAATTCCAACACAGCATTAGCTTCACGACCCAAAAGAACAAAGCGGCATTCAACCTTTTTTCCACTCGATGAATCTTTTTGACTTTGTACTATCCATCTGTCACACCAAAATACAACTCCACAATTATTAAACTTCCCACTTCACTCAATTCCTTCTGAACATTTACATCTCAACATCTTCAAAACTCTTCCTTCTACTGATCTATCAGATACGAATAGAAAAGTCGCGCGTATGAGTGGTCGCTCGTCAGTTTTTACTTCTCAGGTATGTTCTATTTCTTTGTCTTTGGATATGATGTATGTGAATGACGATGTGGATGAGTCAAACGTCATGAATTCTCAATTCTCAATTCTCTTATCTTCGGGCTTGAATTTGGAAGCCAGACCTTCTACTATTCTTTTCCATAAGATATGACTCTTCATCAATCAAAATGTCTACAGCAACTTTATCATCTAAGAGCGATTTGACTAACAACATGTTCTTGTAGGATTATATCTCAGGTTCGCACATAACCTTATCCATGTCCCTCCCAACGAATACTTACCATGGCCAAAATTCTAACAACCGTCTCCTAGATCACATCTGGAAAGCTTCAGTCAACTGAAATAGCTTTCTCAAACCTACCGCCTACTAAATTATACACACACAAACAACTACAATCATGTTCTCCCGATTCGTAAAGCCTGCAGCTTTTAAGCCAACTGGCTATGGCATCCAAAGAGTTGCACAACAAGCTAGATTCCTAGCTACTGTTGAAGGAAGTGCTGGTCGTGCCATGCCATACACCCGTCCTCGTGCTACTCCAATCTCCCATGACCGAGCTACATTCACAATCAGGGTATGTTACATCGGTTGACCTGTGAAGAAATTTCTGAGTTGACGATCTTTGACAGGATGGCCCAGTCTTCCACGGCAAATCTTTTGGCGCAAAATCCAACATCTCTGGTGAAGCCGTGTTCACAACATCCCTCGTTGGTTACCCTGAGTCCATGACCGATCCCTCTTACCGTGGACAAATTCTCGTTTTCACTCAACCTCTGATCGGAAACTATGGTGTTCCATCATCTGCCAGAGATGAGCACGGACTTCTGAAATATTTCGAGTCACCAAACATTCAATGTGTTGGTGTAGTTGTTGCAGATTATGCAGAGAAGTACAGTCATTGGACCGCTGTGGAAAGTTTGAGTGATTGGTGTGCCCGTGAGGGTGTGCCAGCCATTTCTGGTGTTGATACCAGAGCTATTGTCACCTACTTGAGAGAGGAAGGTTCTTCCTTGGCTCGAATCACCATTGGAGAAGAATATGATGCCGATCAAGATGAAGCTTTCGTTGATCCTGAACAAATCAACTTGGTCAAAAAAGTCAGCACCAAGGCCCCATTCCACGTTAGCTCTGCCCATGGAGATATGCATGTCGCAGTTATCGATTGCGGTGTTAAGGAGAACATTCTCAGAAGTTTGGTCAGCCGTGGCGCAAGCGTTACTGTCTTCCCTTACGATTTCCCAATTCACAAGGTTGCCCACCATTTCGATGGTGTCTTTATCTCTAACGGACCTGGTGACCCAACCCATTGTCAAGAGACTGTCTACCATTTGACCAGATTAATGGAGTCATCCCAACTACCAGTCTTCGGTATCTGCCTTGGACATCAATTGCTTGCTCTTGCAGCTGGTGCACGCACCATCAAGCTCAAGTACGGAAACCGTGCCCACAACATCCCAGCTCTTGATTTGACCACCGGTCAATGTCATATTACCAGTCAAAATCACGGTTATGCCGTTGATATGACTACTCTCCCATCCGATTTCAAGGAATACTTCGTCAACTTGAACGATGGATCCAACGAAGGTAAATATTTTCCAAAATCCTTTCTTGAACACTAGCTAACAGATTATAGGTATGATTCACAAGACCCGTCCAATTTTCTCCACGCAATTCCATCCTGAGGCCAAGGGAGGACCAATGGATTCCTCTTACCTCTTCGATATGTACATTGAGAACGTTCAACGTTACAAGAAGAACCAAGCTGTCTACCCAGCCGGCAAGGACAACAGACCAAATCCTCTTCTTGTAGACATCTTGTCGAAGGAGCGTGTTGGTGTCGCTCCAGCTCAAGTTGCTGCCGCCGCTTAAGCTTAAGGTTAAATATAATTCAATGGGAATCTATGGAGCGTGGTATCTGGGATTGAATTTCACTGGCGTTAGTAATTTGTTGAATCCTGACAGGGTTTTTAGGAAGTTTTTAGTTTTTAGTGGTTGCAAATTAGTGAATAAAAAACTGAAATTAGCTGCGAAACCTTATCTTCTTGCGCGATACGTGTGATTGTGAAATGCAAGTGGAAGTCCATTGATTCGTTTGAAAATTAGCTCTATGTTGGCGTAACAATCTGGCTGCAGTAGAATTAAGATTTTACTTTTAACCGTACCGGGATTATATTGTTCTGAATTGACCAATCGTTGTTGAGGTAGGGTATTTGGGGGGTTGGGGAGATTGAGAATACGCGATGTAGAGGTGTAGCGATAATTGAATAGGGGAATTCAAGAAGGAAAGCGAGGAGCAAGGGGGGAGGGGACGGGAGCGAACAATGACGGAATGATAGAACCAAGTAAACACTTTTCTTATGGAAGTAAAAATAGATTGGAGAATCCAAAATATTTCTTTTCCATTTCTATTCTTCTTCGTCTTCTTTTTCTTTTTCTTTTTCATTCCCGGTCTTTTGTCCAATGAGTGGTGGAGGAAGGGACGGAATGCTTTCCCCTTTCTCACAGTCACAGATCCCCCTTTCCTAGTGCTTCTCTCATGTCAAAGAAAGAGCTTATTGTTTGATATTTTGATATTCGTACGAAGATGGGGACTTACCTACCTAGTATATCATCTTACTCTCGTATTCGTTACGCAAATCGTGGTGAAGGAAAAAAAAAAGAGGACTGAGGTAGGTAGGTATGTAGGTAGGTATGTAGGTATGTAGGTATGTAAAAACCATTTGCGGAAACCTCGATATGATGGATGGATGGATGGATGGGTTTCTCGCGGGCTCGAGAATATCTATCGTGTTGAGATTTCGATCGGTTGTATAGCTGTCCTCTTTCTTTTTTCTTTTTTTTTTTTTTTTTTTTTTTTTTGCGGATATGGAGAGGGAGAGGTAGAGGGGGTGTGTTTTCTGTTTGGGATATGATGGATAGGTGATATGTAATGGATAGGTGATGGATAGGTGATAGATAGATAATAGATAGATGATAGATATATGATAGATATGATAGATATATGATAGATATATGATAGATATATGATAGATATATGATAGATATATGATAGATAGATAATGGATAGATGATGGTGTAAGGTCAATTGATAGAGGAAAATAAGTGAGGGGTGAGTTGAGGATATAGGTTTTTTTAATCTTGTTTGAGATTTTGTAGGTGGTATTATATTTAGAAGAATGAATATGGTCTGTAACTTTGATATCAGGGTTTGGACTGAAGCCTCTCTCTCAAGTCACTGGGGAGTCAGCTCGATTATTGAAGATCATGACACTCATTGATAATGTGATGTATTTTGAAAAACAAGATTTATTAGACGGCGTTTTATTGTACTTGGTAAGGTGTTACAGTTAATAAGGTTTCTTAAGCTTGGGCTGTAATCTTTTGTGTTGATATCAACTTGGTTGAGAGGTGTATGATGGTTGTAATCGTTCTTGATCATTTTAGGTAAGACTATAGGAAGCTAGTACTATATAAAGAAGTGCTAGCGTAGTTTATAAAATGTCCTCCTATGATCACGCGATCGATTTCCCGATAATTTGGGAACACCACCCAAAAGGAACTCGTAAAATTATCAATTCTAATCTCTCTCGATATCCTTTCGCTCTTGAGGCTTTTTCGAAGATTTCTTCAATCCATATTCTGTTTCTAGAAATGTCCTCAGCGGTATCTCCTTCTCTAGCAAAACTAACACGCAAGCTAGTCCGGCAAAGATCACAGCGATCTGCCACACACGCTTTAATGCTTCGCGGTACACAGCACGGATTTCTCCTTGCACTCCGACCGGGTACTTCTCAATAAACTGGGCAGCTGCCAGCTGATACGTATTGCCATTTACCAATTGCTCTCTCAACCCCTCATCAGAGATACGTCCGCTCAGCGCCGACGACTATTGAAAATAGCCCACTCGGCTGTAGATGTATTTTCCCGTTGTAGCGTGAAGAGACCCAAGGGGATAGCGAACAAAGCAAAGCCGGCGAAATTTAAAGGACGAAATTTACTCCAACGACTGAGCGCCATGGCGGAAATGGCAGCACCGGGGATGCCGACAAGGGAATAGGGGAGGAGAGTAACGCCCGTGCGGCGAGGAGAATCAAGTGCCACGAGTTTGTGCCATGATGACCAGGGATTCGTGATTGATAGGGCGTAGAGAACTGCTACGGTGCCGGTCATGAGGATAGCGTTGCCTACTAATTCAATGCGCTGTAGTTTCTGAGCGAAAGTCACATCTTTTTTGTATTTGACGTGGAGAAAGAGGTATAGTATCACTAGTGAGGTTCCACCGACAGGAAGATTGAGATAAAATACCCAACGCCATGTAGTTGAGTAGACGATGGCACCGCCAATAAAGGGGCCTAATGATACGCCTATTCCATAGATGACCAGAACTACAGCCATATAATTTCCACGTTGGCGGAGGGGAGCAAGATCTGAGACGATTATATCTGACGCTATATATTAGTCAATGCCTCTATCTGTGTTGATGTAAAATAATGGTCCGGTACCAATAATCATAATGATTCCTCCACTCCCCATGCCCTGCACTGCCCGGCCAGCGATCAACATGGTGCCATTACGAGCGACACCACATATCCCACTCCGAAGTATAAAAATGGCGACAATGAGTACAATCCAGCGTCTTCCAACTATATTGCACAACTGCCCAAACAAAGGCTGGAAGGCTGCACTGCATACGAAGAAAGCATTCGTGATCCAGATGAAATTCTGGCCCATCTGCAAATCGGATAAGATTACAGGGGCAGCGGTCGAGACGACTGTGTTCTCGAGGGCGCCGAGGAGATTGGTAACAAGGAAACCGATGATGATACACCAGAATTTGTATCCACGTGCAAAATCGGGTGTGTGTGATGGAGGTACATTGAGAAAAGATGATGGGGAGGAAGGAAGCGCTGATTCGATGTTTACGGTTATATGTGCTGTGATGTGGACGGATTCGCTGGTGTGGTTCATTGTTTGCAAATTGAGAATGCTGGATGGCAACGGATGTTCATGCCTACTTTGAGCAGAATATTGGGGCTTAATGACCGGCATTTATAGGTGGTCTTTGAGGATATTTCGAGCCGCGCCTCTAAGATTGCGTTTCGGAGTTCCGAATAACTGGTTGAGTGGATTGATTGAGACGGGTTCATGTATGTTGGTGATCGTTGTGATCTTAATGAGCGAAGTGACTACTTGATATTTTTCTCCTCGCATTCTGTTCACGACTTACTGTGTAGCAGACTTGCCTGGAAAGCTTTATGTTTGATAGAACACAATTCGATTAGGACACATAACGACTATGGATTTGACACAAGATTCATATTTCAGAACTTTCGAAGACATAGCACAAGTTTATACTCAAGATCACGTTTTTTGTGAAAGTAAAATGTCATTTAAAAGTCCATGCAAAATCTTTGAAATTCCCTACAGTGGGCGGGACTTTAGATTTAAATCTTCAGTAGGCGCTAAAATACACAAAAATGAGTCAAAACGATCTGATACCTCTTCTCGCTCTCCTAGCAGCAGTATTTACAATGTGAGACACATGAACAGATTATCTGTAACTACATTGTTTGACGTATGTATAATATGAGATGCTCGACTCATCGTCCCTCTTCACTCTTCGCCGGTAAAAATCTAACCAAAACTTCGGTTTATTCCACATAGTATAAACAGAGAAATCTCGATCAAAAGATAAATCTTGACCTGGCACTGCTTCTACATCAAACATCCACAAGACCTTCGCAAGTTATAATTTCATCTGGGCCCATGCAATTGCAGAGGCTGGAAACATTCTAGGACCTTGATTGAAGGGTAAAAAAGCCTTGAGATTATCATTTTGATATTTTTTATCGTATTCTGGGTGGTTGGATGGAAGCCATCGCTGTGGACGATACTGGAGTGGATCCGAAAAGTAGCGTGAGTTGCGTGCTGCTGCAAAGTGACTGATTTGGCAGATGACCTGGGAATGATAGATAAGTAAAGAGTTAATAAATTGGATGTGAAGAGTTACTTACTCCGCGCGGAATGTAGTTGCTATCGACGATGGCCCCGGAACTCATGCGCGGAAGACCATTATACGTATTCTGATGGATGTGAAAAGTTTCTTATAAGCAATCATGTAAGTGTTTCATATTAGCTAATGAATCAGGAGTGATCTTATAGCAATTTTTGACATTGCTCCGGATTTCGTTGACAAGTGATTTGTAGGCACTCGGTTCATTTAGTAGGAAGAAAATTGAGGAATAGAATTGATTTGACATTGGTTCCCAGCCTGCCACTAGCAATTTACCCGCTATTTGCTCCAAGTAATTGATTTGCTTCTGATCTCTAGGAGCTGGCGCATCTCTTGGGATAAGTTGTTCGCAGTAATCCAGGTGTTTCGTCTTTCCCCTGCGTTCAATTCGTGAAGGGACTTTTTGGCTGTTGATCTTCAAAACCCGTGGCATGGTGAGCCAGACGGATCGGGGAATGAATAAGTACAGAAGTGGACTGAGGAGAGGGAGCTTTTTGGATACTGCTTGGATCGTTAAAAATAGGTTGACTTTGATCACAGCATTCAATAGAAGAGAACTCTTCTCTGTTCATAATGGATATGTTAGATTAACGGAGCATAGTGGTTGGAAATACTACATACCATTTTTCATTTGGTTTATTTGACGATTATATGTCATATCCGCAGAGACATCCATAGTCAACCAATGTGCCCACTGATGCAGTTCAACACCCTTCTCATCTTTCATCGCTTTCATCTTATCAACAAATAAGTCAATATATTTATGCAAAACCGCTTCCTTAGCTTTAGCATTTCTAGCGCTGAATGCGGGAGAAAGTCTTCTGGCTACATCGCGGTACTTGACTGGATCGATCTCGAAGGAAATTCCTCCATCTTCTCCTAGATCTTCGAAGTCTGTTTTGACAAAAGTTTCGAGATTTTTCATATGCGTTGCGTGTATATCTGAAAATATTGTTTTAGCTGGCTGCTACTATTGCCGTCGAAGTCGTTAATATTCACCCTTTCCTGCTTGCGGTGTAAGAAATAAAAGCTCATTCGGTGCGATACGAACAAAGTCGCCTATTAACAATCAACAGCTGGGTCAAAGAGAAGAAGATCCGAATTTGTATTTCCCACCATAATGTTTCAACACTTCTTCGATCTTCCACGGCCATTTTCCGGTGGAGCCTTGAGTTCATTAGAATTTTAACGCATGCTACAAAAGGATCGGGATCTTACCAATTATATGCGTACCATGCATTGGAAACTACCGCTAGCTTGGGACCTGGGTATTTGGAAAGTGGATGGAATTATAGATTATAGATGCCACGAATAAGCGAATAGAGGAACAACTGAAAGTGTATTATTATTGAGATTGTATTAGGTTACGATTGGATGTGAAAATTGACATACAATTTTGACGAACACCAAGAGCCATAGCAGAAAGTTCGCCCAGAAGATATCTGTAAAATCAGGGATCGCCATGAGTTATTAACTTTTGCGATGTGAAGATGAATGGTGCGGTTTTGGCGAGTGCTGCTAGTAATTATTGTGAAGTTATCTCACCAAGGCGAACTAGGTCATGAAGTTGAGCCCCCTTTTCTCCAAACATTAGTCGTGAAGTCATAGACAAGAGAAATGATATTAATATACAAAAAATCTATCGACCGTCGACTCGCTATTATTTGCTCGGCATCTTGTCTTCTCCATTTGATCCCGACGCCGAGAACTAATTGTTACTCGGTTTTCGGTGCCGAATTACTACATCTGGTAATTATTTTCTTCGGTACTCCGATCGCACTTATTTTCTCAACAGTCTAGCTAGTTTACTGCAAATCTTGAGGCTTTTCAAGCGAGCTCAGGTCAGCGAGTTGCGCGATAAACCTGGGGTCTAGATGTATGGTGTGCAGGACTCGCTTGGACATACTTCAATGCATACCTGGGTGAGTATTGGATTAGACTCTAGCCTGGAAAGAAATTGTAGAATTATTCAACTATCAAGCTCTGCTCATACGTTTGATACAATCTTTTACTGCCGGAATATCATCGGCAACGAAAACACATACGAGAGACAGTGTGGTCAAGATTAGTTGTGAATTAATCATATCGATAGATTATGTGCGCAGTCATACAGAAAATGGGATTTATTATTTTTTGATTGAGTGATTCCCGAATCGTCACTGTCTTTCACGTTTGTCAATGCCTGAGGGAATTGCATCGCTGATTCTAATATAAATTTATATTTAGATCTACGAGATTGATTGACTGAATCTATATAATGGTCTACAGCCATTAGTTGATTGCTAGAGATGGGTTTATTCGACTAATTATTCGAATCATTATTAGATTTCGAATTAGATTACTTCCTATTATACCCTTTATTTGCTTTTAATTCAGGGTGTTTTATGAAGCATTTAGACTCCAAATGCCCCTTTTTAGAGCAGTGATTGCAATAAGGAGCTTTTTTGAAGCTAGTTTTATTCGCATGTAGATTGATATTAGATCGCATTCTAGCCTCTTCGGATATTAGCTCGGAAAAGAGCTTATCTAGATCAATACTAGCTGTATTTTTAGCTAGTTCTTCGTATTTTCGAGAAGCGAAGCTATCGAAAGAGCTAGGTAGACCTCTAAAAAGAAACCATACTATAAAAGCTTCAGGAACTTCGAATTTCATCGATTTTAGGTAATTATACGATGATTGGATCGAATTAGTATATTCGTCCATTCCCTCAGAGCTAGTATAATTAGATTCTATTAGCTTGTTTAGGTATCTTCCCATTGATTCGATGGAAGACTCTCCAAAACTCTTAATAATGGAGTCCCATAGGCTTTTAGCCGAAGTTTTATCCTTGAATCTTTCGACTAATTCGAAGCTAATTATGGATTTAATAGCTTCTAATGCCCTTCTTTCATTTTCTTGATACTCTGAAAGCTTTTCGTTATATCTAATTGCTAATTCAGGTGAAAGTGGCTGTCCTAATTCGTCTGTATATAGATTTTTGTTTGGTGGCGTTTCTGTACCATCGATATATGACATAAAGCCGTTTATTTCAAGAAATATCTCAGCTTTATTAATCCATTTAATATAATTAGATCTGTCTTTTAAAGGATCAGATTTAAAAGTAATACTAGAAGCCATTTTAAGCCCTTTTTATTATAGGCCAATTGGTCTTATGGACTGGATTGGTACTAGTCTATATATATAGCTAGTTTCGGATTTGAATGGATTTGATGAATAAATCGATTTGAAATAGATTTTAGTCTCGAGGATCGAATAGACCAGCCACCTCTTAAATTAGCTCTTTATCTTATTCTATATAAAATAAAGACTAAATAAGCTAGGGCACCATGGTATGAAGAATATTGATATATCACCCGCTTTGGGTAGCGTATAGTATAGATATATCGTCTAGGGACCTAATTTTATTCGCTCAATTAGGTTTAGCTTCAGGGACGCAGGCCTCAGGGTCTATATGTAGTGTTTTTCGATATGAATTCAATTGAATTGATTCGAAAATTCGATATTCGACAGGAAAATTCGATATTCGACAGCTCAATAGCTGTATATATATGATATACAGCCTTAAATCAAGCTAATTCCCTTTCTAAGCTAATTTAGACTAGCCGAGCTCATAACCTCTTGGAGGTTAGCTTTTATAATAATAAGGAATATTATTATTATAATGATAGTGGAAGATCTAGTCAATTTAAGCTTGAGGGATAAATCGAATATATGTAATAAGAGTTGAATTGAAGTCAATTTAGAAGAGCTAGGCTGAGTTGAGATGAAATAGCTTGCTTTTTCTAGGTTTTCTTTAAAGAATATCCTAGGTTTATATAGTTTATAATGAAATTCTAGTATTTTCTATGCTTATAAATAAGATAGATTTAAATCGAATCTTATAGAATTACATTGCATCATAAAAAGAAAGTATACCAATCAATTTAATCTGTCTTATTAATAGTTTTCCATATACTTCTATTCCATTCTATTCTATTATAAATCAATTTAATAAAAGATACTATTATATAACTATATGATAATATAATTTTATAACATAAAACCATATTATACACATATTATTCATCAAGATATCTCTTAATTAGTAAGCTATTAATAAGTCATTTATTATAGAGTTTTATACTTGTCATCAAGTTGTCTATTGAGCAGTAGGGTTATTCTTACAAATGTACAGAAACTGAGACCTCGAAAGCTTTCAGCCATCATCATATTCATGACTTTAATCTATATAGACCATTGTAGAGCAGCGAATGATTCTAGTAGCTGTTTAAAACAATGGTTTTAGAGGGCAACATTACTCGGTATCGGTATCTATCTTTAACTGTGCTGATTATTGCAGCATGAAGGAACTCTAGGAGCAGCAAGAAGACCAATTAGAACCCCCACTCAATCTGGGGACTCAAGCGGTTGGAATACTCAATCTGCCCATTGCATGCATGTATCTAAGCCCGCTGAACGCTCCAATGAGAATGAGGGAACGTAATTATAGATGGTCATGTGATTCTCGGTAGATTGTAGGCAAATGATTTTCCAACTGCGCCGCATAAGTCGCATACAAACGGATAGATGATCCTGTAATCCCAACAGTTGGAAGAAGTTTACCAACACTGGTGGTAACTAGATTCTGAGAATGAGGGCGATTCTAGCTATCGAGTAGTGAAAAATGGATTTTGTGATTGAAATAGATAAGAGTGTTGGGTTACGTAGTGGGTGAGTTTACTTGCATAAAAGCCTAATCGGTTCAGATATCCAAAAAGAACGAGTGATATAAAAGCTTTGGAGGCATACAGAAATTTGTAAAGAATCTAGTCGTACGATTTCTCCCCTGCTGAGTGGCGTAGGCGCTAGTACGGGTCTTCATCCCGCATGACTGCATCTTGTTTTAATCAACTCATGTTGGATCTCCTTTTATTCGTTCGAACTACGCATCTCTTCTTTCTAGCTTTAACAATCTGTTCATATGGCTTCGAGAGTGATGGATCTGAATGCGAATGGAGTTTCTTCTCGAAGATTTGCGTGTGATCGTTGCCGTGGTCAAAAACTGCGATGCATTCGCGAACGAACTGACCAGCAAAACTGCGATCGATGCTTCCGTGCAGATGCTGAATGTCGCACGAGCCCTGTCTTCCGTGGACGTAGCTATGTGGGAGACACTGCTTTTGCTTCTACAAAAAGCATAGAGGAAAAGGCAAGAGTGCAAAAGTCAGTGCGAAAGCGACGATACAATAATGCTGCGCAGCTCCAAATGCAGTCACAAGCCACTACTCAGCAAGCGGTGATAGATACAGCTATCGTTACGGAAACAGCAAGCTCTCCAGGATCCCTTGGACAAACAGCGCTGATGAATATATTCGAATCGTCTCAATCATCATTACCTGTGCCAATGTATCCCACAGGATTTTCAGACACAATGAGTGATATGAATTGGGCAGCCGAGGATGCTTTATTTTCTGGTCTCATACTTCCAGATGGAACGGATCAGACATTTGATCTATCTGACAACTCGGGTACAAGTAGCTCGACTGAGGCTTATCCGTCAAAAGCACAGACATATACAGGAGATCCTCCCTCTCGACCTACGCCATCATTGATACTTTCACCCCGAACGACGTCTTCCACTTCGACATCTAATTTACAAAACATCGAATGCAGCAGTCACAAAACTTTAGCAACGACATTCGAAAACAACGCTTCCTGCGAAAGCCCCGAAGGTCAGGTTGCAGGCAGTATATCTATTGACAAGAATGAAGAGGAGACCATTGTCTAGCGGTTAGCCAAGACTAATTTGGATATTGGTTTGCTGCTTTCTCAAATTGATAAAGACACCCCAACTGCAATCGTAGAGATGCTAGTTGAGCCTATTATTGAGACAAAGTCCTCAAGAACGAGGTTGGACGACATTTTAAACGGTACAAGAGATTTCTTGCAAGCTCTTAGTCTGCTGGTAGGCTCGTCGGGTCGACATCCAACCAAGTCCCCTCGATCGTCTACTGGTACTGTACTGAGTTCAAATCCTACATCAAACACCAAAAGACCTGATCTCCAAAAGAGTAATAAAGACTATGCACATACTCTATCCAGAACTGATGCAATCAGCACGTCCTCGCCCGTAGACAGTTCTTCCTCATCGATACACTCCGCCCTATCAAAATCTGATTGGCGAACGTACTCAAAGTATGATTTCGCAACTTCACTCCTCATTCTTACATGCCATATGCATTTACTGCGGCTTCATGAAGTTCTGTTCTCACACATACATGGCTTTCTGACAGAGGTCTCGGACAGTGATGATCCCTCTCTCTGCCCCCTTCCTGGGCTTTTGTAGCTTTCCACTACGTAAGTCACGCACTTCGGCACAAGATGAGGCCCATTTTGGTTTACCCAAATGCTAACTTTCCAGAATCCGGTAATCTTCAGACGCCTATTCTCATCCAAATTATAACCAGCCTTTTCGAACAAATCGAAAGACTTCTGGGCTTACCACGTGAACACTGGATATATCCTGGCGAAATCGGGCCGGATGGCTTTGTTTCGGGTGGCTTGTTGAGTAGCGAAGAGATGGTCGGCATTGTAAATTTTGCATTTTGGCAACAGGAGTCGGGCGAATCTGAAAGTCGAAGAGGCGTATTGGAAGCATTATGCAAGCATCTTGAGGGGCTAAAACAGTTATTAAAAGATAGCATAGCACCTTAGAGCCAAGGCGAAATAACTGAGCCCACAAACTGGAGACTCGTTGATGCTTGGATCTCGAATGATAGATGATTGTGGTCTTCCTGGAGCCTATCATATAGATCTACCATGTCATCCTTATCACTCCACTTATTGTAGAAAAAGCTGTTGCCTTTGAAAGCCTCCAAGCAATGAAATTTCTTTTGAGAAGATCTTTACCAGAATGATGACATTTGTTTCTAAGGTGGGTATCGACAAGGTTCAATCATCTGCCGAAACCATTTTTCTCTGGACGCTACAATAGGATGACTCGTCCCATAGAAAAACTGTATTTGAGGTATTGATGATAAGTAATGCGGGTAAAAATTCCTCCCAGTGCACAGTGAAAATCCTAACCCGAAAATATCAGGATGGAAATGGGCCCTTGAGGCTGAAAAAAAGGGCGGATAACCTCTGTATAAGAGACCAAAGAAATTGAAGAGAAGGGAGGAACAGTTAAATTCGGGGAGGTGAGGGATGAAGGTGGGATAAGCGCCAGTGCGGGGTGCGGGTCAGTTACATGGGTGGGCTACATAGATCTGTGCGTACGGTTGGGACTAAGGAAAATTTCTGGAAGATTTTGTTTATTAGGGTGCCTTGAGTAATCTCAGCTCGATGTTATGTCATGTGTGGATTGTATGTGGAGAGATATATAGGCAGCGTGGATGTATAGTACTTTTGTCGCTGAGGTTTGGACAAGAGGAACAGAGGGTTTGCATTGCGATGGATAGTCGCCTTGGAAGTATAACTAACATACATTTGTGTTGGATATGTGAGGACCTATCTTTGAGTTGAGCCAGAGGAAGCGAGTTGATGCGAATGTTGTCTTACTCTCGAATTGTTCTTAGCGTTTTCTGGAACTGCTAGTTGCGAGATTAGCGAGATAGGTATTGAAGAGAGGTCTGATCTGCGTTGACCTGATGCTTGGTTCGACTTATAGTTCGTAAATACACTTGATGACTTATTTATTTGCTCTAGACAAAATTGCTTCTAGTTTTCATACCACTGCATTGCTTACTTTACAAAGCTTAAATTAAAGAAAGAGTAGGGTGGTCGACACGCTATTATTTCCATTTCAAAATTCGACTCAGACTTGGACTCCGTTGTTAAAAACATTACAATAGACGGCAAATAAAATCAGAGGAGCAAAACTCATACAGCACTAGAAGTACTCGCACTTGCAGTGTAACCCAACTAGAAAACATACATCCTCTAAACGATTTAAGCCTCGGGATCACCAACCTAGATATACGATTCTCGATACCCATCTTCAACATCCAAAATCCTAAACTCCTACCAAGATACAAGCGAAAGGAAGAGATCGAAGCATGGATATTTTACGAGTAGACAGATGATTCGGTGAAAATGTGGGGAACCCCCGAAGCGAAAGGATCGCGAGGATGGATGTCGAGATTACGATATTGGAATCTGTGGATCCAGCATCAAACCCGGATTCTGGGTTAGATATAGAAGCGGGGTGGTATTTGAGTTGGTTGGTTGGAGGAGTGGATGATGGTATGCCGTGTACATGGGATTAGGGATGAGGTTTGAACATCTCAATGAGATGTTGAGAATTTTCCATTTTAGATACGTGGAGATGTCTGCATTTGGGTATAGCTCCAGAATACTTTGAGCTTAGATTTTGATGTGATGTCATTTCTTAGAAGATCACAAGATGTCATCGTCAAGTGACGGGGAAATGTCATTCATTGAATATCCTCAGACATGGATCCCAATCGAAGTAAAACACACGTACCTATGTTAGCCAAACAATGAGCCCCACTTTTGAGCACTACTCGGCACCCTCAAAATTTGGCTCTAGACTTTCATATCTAATGGCCAAGGTTATTGAATCAAGGTTTGGTAGCGCGGCCGTGGGTCGAGGATTAGGTGTGGGCTATTGAGAAGGAATGTATGTGTACCTACTAGGTACCTAAGTACTATCAGACAACTGCCAACTACAAACAAACTTGTCTCTCTCAAAATATTTGATATTCATGAATATTGGGATGATTTAGAACTTCTTAGTTAAATGAGATAAAACCGGTGGCTAGCCCTACTAGTCAATTAATTTCTGATGAAGTTCAAACAATATGCAGCAATAGAAAACAAAAAATTAAGATAAATAGTGTTTATATTTAATCTTTTATGAAGACTCAATAGCCTTCTGGTGGTATTAATCTGTATCTAATAATACAGGATTCCACCAAACCTATCCACTTCCACCATTCAAATCCCAAATCTTTCCAATTACTCCATTCCCAACGACAAGATAAGATAAATACGTAAAGGTCATATTCATGTCGCAAAACCCAACCAACAAATGAAATCCATCCCAACTTTGAAATGATTGTGTGAAGCACTTGTAACTAAGTGCATTTTGAAAAATTCCCCTCTCTAACGCCGGATGCTCATAATTCCCCTCCTCGTGGCTGAAAAAAAATCAATTACGCCTGGTATCATTTTCCAAAGATAGCTTAAGAAATTTGACCCCCATAGTGCCGACCCTTATTTCTCCGATAGATTATAGAAACGATTCGAAATTAAATTCACAGGATAGAGACAAGCCACTAAAGCCCAGATGGTTGATTAATGATAGCATCGATACCCATATCCATGGAAGGTAGACGGGAGTGAAATGACGCTCGGTTATCTTGGTGGTATGGACTTCGGTCAGTTTGTGGGTAGCCGTCGTTGCGATCCGATTGTGGGTAGCCATCATTACGGTCCGTCTGTGGATATCCATCCGGTCGGCCATCCGAGAGAACTTGTGGTGCATATGAGTAATGTTGTTGATTAAGCGGGTCATTAGTAGAAGCTTCTGAGCCATTATCCCGATCATAATCGCCGTCGAGGTTGATGCTGATCCCGCTGTCTTCATGAACTTCATAATCATTGTGGTCCGAGTATGTTGCATTTCCAGTTTGTCCTCCTGCTTCCATCATACGTTCGCGGCGAGCATAAGCTCTCGCAGATGTTTGCATGTTTTTGAGACCAGTTGACATACACTTTTTCATGTTAGTATAAATCTCAGGTATATTCGTTTGAACACATACCTTTTGCTCCACAACAGTCCATTTCTCCCCAGTAGCGGCAGCCAGGCCGGACCATATCTCTTTGCGCATATCCATATAATGCTTCGCAAGAGTCTCGGATTTGACATTATCCCAATCATCACTAGACTTTCGTTCCATCAAACGTTCATGGCGCTTTCGACAGGCGTTGGCCGATTTGTTTGGAAAGTAAGTTGCCTGGATAGGTTGCCAATTCAATCCCTGTTTCCGTGCTGCTATCAAAGTTCGATCATCGATAGGTGTCCATGCTCCAGATGAAGGTCGAATGGAAGGTGGCATTGGACTACTCTGGACATAATGTTGAGTTGGAAGTGGTAAAGGAGGTTGTTGTACAGGACCTCCCGTTGCATAGCTGGACATATTCTGGTAGCTGTGTTGCAGTGGTTCATAGTATGGTGTGGCCATCGGTCGAGAGTTGATAGGTGGATATACGAGGTTGTTAGAGGTGAGAGGTGGTGATCGATAGTAATCCATAGCTTTGAATGAACGCTGTTCCTTTGGCATTCTAGGAAGACGGGTTTATGAAAGATCGGTACTACTTGGTAGTAACCAGGGGTCGAAACAATTGACGAGTCAATTAAGTATTAGATGTAAAAGAAACTTGCAGACCAGCCGGCAGGAAACGTAGAAAATACTTGACACGAAAACGAATGGAGTCAGATATGAGAATTGAAATCTAAAGCGAGTTGACAATAGGAAATTCGTAGAAGCCAAAAGATGATGTTGATGCTGAATGAGGACGAAAGGTCTTAGCCAGTGTACCGGCGACCGACCTTTATAATACAGAATTGACCAGCTCGATTATCTGTTGGAAGAAATAACGCTGGGGGCCATTTGGGTGGTGTCTATAGCCTCATTAACGCTGAACGTCCAAAAATGAGACCTCAACTAAATGATGAAACAAGATGGGTCCGATTTTAGATATTATCTTGATAAATCCGACCCCGACTTCCTGGGCCTTCAAACGTTGGCAAATGCACGAAATTCTGTGACCAGGATCAACTACAGTAGCCGCGGATAGACTATTAAGTCTCCAAAACTCGAGGGGATACGAACAAGGGATGATTGTATTGGTCAACAGAAAAACACGGTCTCTCCTAAGGACATTGGGCGGTAGTCTCATCTCGAATTTTGGAGACATATCTGATGGGCGCGTAAATTATGTGGGCGTCAACAAGTAAGCTGCGGATGAGGCGTTCGCGTACCGAAAATAGAATCAAACGGGAGAGATCTGTACAGGGGGGATGACAGAAAAGGGTCAGTGCAGGGTATATTAAATTTACAAGGGCTGTGTATGAGGTTTTTTAAGAATGCCTTTAAAGATAGTTAGATCTTGATAGATTAGATGATAATGAAACATATCATAACGATCCTGTTTCGTAATGAATTGAAGATGTTGAAAATGGTAGGTAAAGATGAAAAGAAGGTATACTTGAAAGACTATATGGATTAGAAGAAAGAAAAGAGACGTTTATTTGATGCGCGCGTGTAAATTGATATGTCTAGACTAGACTACCTAGACAAGATAGACACTGTACATCGTCTACCGAGGTAATAACTCCTGCGTGAATGGTATTACGAGAATGCCGTAATGGAATTAGTTGAACATCTAGACATCACGTGAAAAAAGGTCTAACTGGTGGTGATATTTGGGCCCCTGTTGGTTGGAGCTTCTTCCTGTTCCTTTCCCTTTTCCTTCCTACTCCAAATCAGGAAGAACGTTGCTATTCGACTCCTTGTTTGCCTGGTAAAACGATTGGATGACTAATTTAAGAAATGCAAAATATTTTGGACGGTCCTCTTTCACTTACTAGGATCTCTGCTTCCAAGACAGCACTGACACTGATCTACGCGATATGCATATGCACAAGTGCACAGATGGGAAATCAACTCATCCCATCTCTACCCGCT